AAAATTTTTTTCGTCAAACTCAAGAAACTAGTATTTTCGTATGGAAAAGGGTGTCATTTTTTTATTGAAAAATAGGGGTTGATACATTAGTGGGGTGAAGAATTCTAATTCAATACCAAGGATGTGAACTAATATTATTACACGTTTTACGCCACTGAATAGTCCTAGGGCATTTTCAAGTAATGAAAAAATAATACTTGAGATTGAGTTTTAGGGATGAATTCATTTGTAAGGGCTGATTTCAGAAAATTTCAAACTACATCAACTACTTAACAATTTTAATAGTATCCAAGAGATTTACACCATGATATCGTAATGGAATAATGAAATATAATAGTATAAATGTTAGGGGTAGCTCACCCCCTCAAGGGATTTTTTTTTTGAAAATGCCGGAACAGGACAACTTTATTTTTGATTATTGTGCATAAAACAATTAATTTTGTCAAGATTTAACAGATTTTGGAATGTGTATAGTGAAAAAAATGGTCATCAAATATAGTTTTTCATTAATAAAAAACGGGGGTTACGAGTCTGATGACTAAAAACAATGCATAAATATGTGCTTTTCAATAACAAGTGTTACCCACTTTGTTTCAGTAAAAAATTACGAATTGTATTCGAGAAATTAAAAAAAATTTGTTTTTAGGGGTGAACTTCAAGGGTGAGTTTCACCCCTTAAATAGGCTTATGGGCACGTATAATAAAATACGCGTCGAATATTTTTTGATGTTCTACAACATATCACAATTTCAAGAAAATCGGTGAGGTACACCTCGGGTACCTTCCTTGTAAGTTTGAGATTTAATATATCTTATTTTTGGCGGGATAGATCTGCTCGCTGCTATTATCGCCTCTTCTAGTTTGGAAACATAATTTTCAAGTTTTAGTTGATTTGACAATGGCAGTCTCGCTAGGTCTCCTTTTTCGATTTCGCACTAACTTTCAAATTCCTTCCAGTCTTCCTTCCTTGTGTTAAATCTCGATTTTCCGATCTTTTCTAAAGGATGAGCTGGATCTTAGAAGGGATTCATAGCTATCAGAATTGATTTGTGGTCGCTTGTTGTCCTGTCCCAGTCTAACACTGATCAGTCCTCAAGGAGGTTTCTCACATTTGTTATGTGAAGTGTTAGATCCACATCTAATTCTCCCTTCGTACCATGGTATGTCTTGGTATTAGCACCTTTTTTATTAGCGAACATCAGATCGAGGCTTAGGATCAGTTCTTTGAAGTCTTCTCCTCTCTTGTCAGTTTTATCCGACCAGAACTTCACATAGGCGTTAGCGTCCATTCTTATCAGTACTTTTTTCCTTTTAAGTATCTGTGAGCCCTTTTTATTTTTGCGAGGTATTGCTCTAGGTTATGACCAAACTAACAATAGAGATTAATCACGTAACTCTCTCCGAAACTTCCTTTCAATTATGCACATGCAAAGTATAACTTACATAGATCTGAGATCTTAGTAGTGGTTTTTCGTTCAGATTGAAGAATATAGTCGCCATTATACTTTCATCTGTTCTGGCTCCATGTATTAGGATTTTCCGTGAGCCAGTAACACGTAGTCGGGTATTTGTATGTTTGCGTGTGTTTCTTTTTCCTTCGGTTGCTCTCTCTTGTTTAGACGGTATGCTCGTCGCATCTCGATATCGGTGTTCTTTGCGTATTCCGGAACGCTCTTTATCATCGGTTGCGTGTACATAACTGTAAGTGTGTAAGTGCGTAGCCCAATCCTGTAATAAACAGGTAGGGTTGGTGTGCAGGTGTATGGCGCTCAGGGCACCATCGATGGTGCACAATAACTTGATCCAGCTAGTTCTTGACTGCTGCTGTTACATAATCAATTTGACTGCACCAAGGTTGTCAAAAGCTTAGAAATGTTTCGAAGTAAAATAAAAATATAATAAAATCGTGAAAGATATAAGAAAAAAAATTAATAAATTTTGTGGATGTAAATCAGTTAATTTACTTACTATGCAATTCTACAAATACGAGAAATAAATATTAATACCAATACTCGTATAAAGTTAAGAGTAACTGTTAAATTGGCCTAACATCTGCTCGTACCTTACCCTGAAAAAAGTTGCCGACAAGGGCAAAATCCAGTCAACTTCTACATTTGGACAAGACGAAGTTAAAGGATGAGACTGAGTGAAGGAACCGTGACTTTGAACTAACACTGACCAAAACGCGAAACCCGCAACACGGGCCAGTTAAGTGGAAATAAAATTTTGCGTTTCTGACTCAAACAAATGCTGTAGCCAAGTATTTGCAGCTTAGCGCCCAGATAAACAAAATTAAGAAAAGGAGTCATAACAGGATAAACCTCCCAAAATTTCATGCCACGGTCTCTGTTCTTAATCTCTCTTCCCCTGTAGTGTGCCCTTGCATCGTTAACAGTACGCGTGCCAGTTGACTGCCGCGCTCATATATGGTTGTCTATATGAACTTATGTAAATTAATAATGTACTTATTAAAATAAAAAGTAATTAAAAGTTATTATGTAATATATATTAAAACTTGAACAACCAGTGTAAGTTTACGTTAGGATAGTACGTGTTTTGCAATAAAATTTTCTTCTGTTAATAGTATCTTTCGACTCATATGATAGTTACCATTTTATTACCCTTTCAAACAAATAGCTTTCAAAGTCATATACAACAATGGATCATTTATTATATCCTTTGAGAAGAGTACCTATATTAGATCCATGTAAAATAGCTTTCGTATCATATTCTTGAGTAATAGTAGTAACTTTAATAATCATATATAAAAAATCTTTTACGTTATCCTTTGATAATACTAACTTAATGAAAGTTATGTGGTAACAACTGGTGATATTTTTTTTAATAACAGTACCTTAATTTGCACAATGTCATTGTTTATGTATCATATTTTTTTTTAATTTACATATGAATTTTACGTATTTTCTGCATATAGCAATTAAAAATATTTCGGAATATTCGCGTATTCTGCATAATATTTTTTGTAAAAGTAAGAGTGTTATTGCGAAATATAATATTCTTATATACAATTAAGCAAGTAATTCAAATATAGCCTGCCGATTTTCGATAGAACATATAGACAAAAGTTATTGAAAAGAAGTAAAAAATCTTGAAATTTTGAAAATAAATGTTGCTAAAAACTTTCTCGTTCTGTAACAAAACTCAATCCTTTGTTACCAATTCTTTGCGGGGTAAGTGAGGCACTTTCGTTCAAGGCAATTGAGGGAGAAGAACGAGGAGAGGTTGATAAATGAATTATAGAAAGACAGAAATCAAATCTCACTTACAGCCTATTATTATTAATCATTGTTCAAATTAAACATACGCGCGCATAACATAGTCTAATTACTAACTAACCAACTACAATAGAATAATAAACTACAATAGAATAATAAACTACTCATAGTATTCACAAATGAATACTTCGCATCTCGTCTTAATATCCAATCGCGCACTTAACCTATTACAAACTTACTTAAATTACGCGAACCTATACCGGATGAACTGCCCGGCACGTGGGCGCCTGGACAATTCGCCGGTCGCAACTTACACTACTACAAATTAAACTTAAACGCGGACCTTTAGATAGCCGGCACGTGGATGCCTGGCTATCCTATTCAACGCGCACCGGCCGTCGCATCACCAGAGAGAGAGAGTGTAGAGAAAAAGAAGAAAAGAAAGCTTGACCTTTGTTCACCGCTCCTAGTAACGTCGTGGATCCCGGGCGATGTGCTGCCGCAGGAAGTACTGGTCGTCGTCGCTGGTCAGATCGTTGCTAGCTGCTGGCTGCTATCGCCGACCAGATATCCAAAGGCGACGTTGACTCTCCTTGCAGGGGTGGCTGGCCGCGGTCGCAGACAAAGCTGTTGCCGGTAGGGTTGACCTTCCTTCCGGCTATCCCAAACTGCACTCTCTAGCAGGACTACTGCACTCTAGTAGGACTAGGCTTCGACTCCTACACGCACTAATTCTTGCGCTCGTCTTGCAGCCGCTCAGCGGCGCTCGCTCCTCTCCCTACCTTGACCTATTAGTTAGGCGGCACGCGACGCGCCGCTTATCGGTCACGCGTTGCGCGCCTGCCAATCCCTGCATGGGCCTAATACTCTCTCTCTCTCTCTCTTTTTCTCACTCTCTCTCCGCGTTCCTCAACTTTTTCTAGCGCTCAACTGCGCTGGCCCGTCCTTGGCGCTGAAACAAAAAGACCAAGTGTTAGGCGCATACTTTAATGCGCCTAACGTTGGCCAACACGCCTTGCCGAGTGAAGGAGGGAGAACGCAGACGAGAGACCGGCACATGGCCTTCTCTCGTCACAGTTCCTAAAACTATTTTTACAATTAACTACATGATATTTTCCGACAATTTCTAATGACGGAGATAACGATTTGTTCCTGAAATAGTTAGATTTTTCTTCAAATTGATATGACTATAGCAACTGCTCGTGTAAGTTCAATCCATTATGCGTGAATTTCACAAAAATGAACATTGACTCACGGTTTTGTTCGAACCATGATTAAAAACGAAATGATTGTGGTATCTCGACTGAAACACTGTCGCCGCTGCAGAGTATCGACTATTACGATTTTCATAAATTGATGCCACTTTCCAATATTCTTTTTCTGCTAAGCAATATCCCTATACACTTATGTCAATATACTCATGTGACTAGCAAAGTAATAATTATGTTTTAAAATTTCAAACATGTTTTATCATAAGAATTTCTTCAACCGTCAAAAATCTAGACTAAATCACAACAATGTCTACATTCGTACACTTGAACAATTCCCTGTGTTGCAAAAGCGCACGAGTAATGACAAATGAATCATTTTTTGTTTTATTATTGTGTTTATTTTAATACAATCAAGTGCGTGAAATTTTAATTACATTTCAATTAATAAGTTATAAGTGGCAATGTTCTAAAATTATTTTGATATAAAAATAATTGTTGACTTAATAATTGTTGTTTATCAAGTATAGCAACACTCACCGTCGGTTAGCTCGCGTAGAGGGGATAATACTTGTAATGAGCAAACGAAAATTTTTTTATTGACCGGAGCTGCCGTCTGATTTGTCGAAATGATTAATTTTGGAAATTCATTTTCCCGGGAAATATTAGATATAGAAATTTTTGGTAAATGCCAATCGCTTTAGAAAAATTTTTGTCTACAACCAAGTTGTGGGAACTGCAATCCTTTTGAATCATCCTGTATAAGAAATCGTCACGAAATATCTTGTAATTATTAACATTTTCATAAAACAATTAAGTACACAATCTTAAATTTGGATATAATATAAAATTTTTATTTTAAATTACAATAAATGAAATATATTATTTTATCTAATACTTTGAACATCTATAGAAGTTGTTATCCATCTATATTTGGTATGTCTATATTTTCTCGAATATTCTGAATTGGCAGAATTCTCAATCAATTCGATTCCATTACTCAAATAAGAACTTACTTGGCTTTTTCCTTCGTGTCCTTGAATCAGTAATTTTTTTTCCAAACATGAAGTTTGATTAAGAGAAGTAATAGTACTTTGCGTTAAATCGACAATTATTCTAAACCGGCATTTGAAAACCTGAAATTAATAAGCAATGGTTCTATTACATATTCTATACTTATGAATAGGTATATTTTCTTTTAAATGATGTTTTGCATTACTATTTTAAGGAATACTATTTTGAGATGAAAACTTTATTTTGTGATACAGCGGAGCATGAACCGGGACATTAATCATTATGTGTTTTCCGCCGATAAAAAAATACGTGTTACTTATTTTTCTATGATATACCATATCAAAAGAATATTAAAACTGGTGAGGTCGTGTTAGGGGAGGGGGGTCCTTTAAAACGGCCATATGCTCATATATTCTATCTATAAAATTATGTTCAGGATCATTATAAGGCCATTTTAAAGATAACCATCTTCATGTATAATAACTGTGAAATGAACCCAAATTTAATAACTATGAACTCTGAAACAGCTCTAAATGTTTAGAAGGATCACTTAGTTCTTCAATTTTTATGTTTAGGAGCGTGTCAGCCTCCTAAAGTCCTTTAAATGAGCTAAAAAATTTCGGATGTCTTTACTTTTTTATTTCTTTATTTGTTCCAGAGTTCTATATAATGCTTACAAGTAATACATATAAATATAACAACATTACAAAATTTTGTAATCAAGCAGAGAAATTAAGTTCCTGTTCGCGGATCTGGATACAACTGAAATTAAATTAAATTAAAACAAGAATTTGAACAAAAATAAAAAGCTAATATTACCGCTGTATGCCTTAATGCACGCGTCGCGTAAATTATTCTAGCTTGAACTATGGCACTTGAAAAAAAGATAGCCGTCAGTCTGAATACGATGTTGCACAGATTTAAAGTAATGCATTGCGTATTCAGCTTCCATCTAGAGTGATTGACTGACGTCTTGAGTTGAGTGTGAGTGAGTGAGTATGATAGAAAGTGCCTGACTATGCTTCACTGTCAAGGGAACTGTTCCAGGTGTACCTCACCGGTTTTCTTTATTTTTTGATATGTTGTGGTACATTGAAAAATATGTGACTCGTGTCTTTTCGTTCGTGTTAATTCAGCGATTTAAGGGGTAAAAATCACCTCTAAATTTCACCCCCAAAACTTATAAAACAAAGGGAATGCAACTCTTATTGATGAAAATAATACGCTAATACTGATTTTTCAATAATGAATAATATTTACTTTGTTTCACCGAGAAATTCGAAATAGTTTCGGAGAAATATAGAAAAAAACCCTTTCATGGGATGAATTTTAGAGCTGGTTTTCACCCCTTAAATTGTCGAATTAGTACAAACGAAAAGACACAGGTCAAATATCAAAAAATAAAGAAAATTGATGAGGGTAGTTTTCTTGTGAGTGAATCTGACTGGATGTACTGGTGTAGTGTACTGTTTGAATCCGACTATACTGTATGAATGGATAAACTGCATGAATCCGACTAAATGAATGAATTTGTGCAGTCTGTGCTGGAGTCTTTATACCTTTAGTTTCCTTGATTTTTGTATTTTATATGATATAGTTAAGAATAAGGCAATTTTGTGTCATGGTCAGGCTAAAAGCTTGCTCGAAGTTTAGGCACGAAACTTGCAATTCAGCGTTTATCGGACTGATGTTATGTCGCGCCATCTTCAGACATGATAAATGCCGCGTCGCTGTTGTGTCTTGATTTTTGCATTAGTAAGAAAGGTATCGCACTGTATATAACCTCTTTCTGATGTAACATGCTGTTGCTGTAGAACGCTTCGAATATATACAATCCATAATAAAAAATATAGTAAATATTACCGATTTTTCACCATAATATACAACGCATTTGCCTTGCTGTTGTAAAATACTACTTTGTTAAGAAATTTCTTTTATCTGCTTCTTGAGTTTTGTTTTCTGTTGTTCTCATTTTTAAGTATCTTGAGGTCATTAGATAATTTGTTGAATTACATAATTGCCCTAATATGATTATTTTTTTTATGTTTATAGGTCTTATTCTTTTAGAGATCTAAATGCTGTGGTACCTGGTTTTTTTATTTTTATTTCTGTATGCTTAAAATATTTCATCTGTGACGGTAAACGTCGAATTAGCGCTAATAAAATAACCTGATTGCTGCTCGCGGGGCAGCACCTACTGGGGAGATTAGGAACGTAACGAAGGAATTCGGCACGCGAGCAGACGGAACGCGCGCGCTTGAAATTGAACCAGTGAAGCTCTAACCACCATCACGCTTGCGCGTGAGTGAAGCATTGACCATCAACGAGTTCGCCCGTGTAGAGGAGATCAACTATCGGTACCCGAGTTATCGGAGCCGAATTCCATTCGCAAAGCAGCCAGACGAGAGTGCCAGAGATTGTCGCAGCCGAGGTGCCGTGCAACTCCTGAGGGCGAAGGCTTGAGCCGGCAGACAAAAACACCGTGCGCTGTGATAACGCTAGTGCGTGCGTGAGGTTTCGCCATCGAGGGCGAAGCCACGTGCTTTTAAGTTCGCGACTCGCGACACAAACAAACTATAGACCTTTTCCGAGTGCGACTTATTGGTGTCATCTTCGAGCGTCCGCAACACGAAGGTAAGCTGGCCAGCTTAATCTCGCGATCGTGACCGCATGCATAACAATTAATTTCTCGTGTTCGAAGCGTGCATGCAATAGCTCTGTTAACAAAGAACAGCGAGCGTCCCGACACTGCGTGTTGTCGATGAGCGAGCGCCGATGTCAACATAAACACGCGGGCCGATCCAATGTAACTTTTGATAGACAATAAAAGGTTCTGTTCGTGTTATTAACAAGTGCTTTCGACTCGCTTATTCCGTATCGCTTCCACTCACATTTTCGTAGATTAGTAGATCTATTGGTTGACTGACACCTGTTTCCCCATGCTCTCCGGATTATGTATTGAGCATAGATGATTACATTCGCCCTTCAATAAAGTTGCGCGAATAAAAGTAATTAAACGGTATCAACCCCGTTACACATCATAATACTATAATAGTGATTTCAGAGAGAAAGTTTGTTCAGCATCAAGTGGGTTTTTGTCAACTATAAGATGGTTCTTATTGACTATTTAAATTAACACATTATCATCCAGCCGGACACGTCTTGTACATCTCTCTACTCGCGCTTAAAATTATCATATTTAGAATTATCACGAGGCGAAAAAATCACGATAGATCTATTTTTGTAGTCTGAAATGTGATCTTTCCGATGGTATCATTCAAAATATTCAAAAACTTTATTTTTTACCGAAAAATGCTGTTAAAAGAGTAGAAAAATCACTACTATCGAAGGTAATTTATTTTTTAAATCGAGTTTTCAAAGAGTTATCTGTTTGAAATCAATTTCGAACCGGTCTAGATTATGGACGCGATATCTGAATCTAAAGGATATGGGATGTCAAGGTCAGTTTGGCCAATTAAAAATTTCAAAATAGCGCCTGAAGTACAAAATTTTTACCGAAACATTGATGAATTTTTTTTCTCAGAAATGAAGCACTTTACAAAAAAATTTCTCGGATAAAAAAATAGATTTATTAGATTTTATAAACAAATACATCTAAACTTTTTAGAGAAGTTGTCGGCAACATTTTTAATTTTCCTATTGTAAATTTTTGGTAAACTATAAATATATTCAAGTTGGAAGGTTTAGTACTCACGTATAATTTAATTATCAAAAAAACTATTAATTCCTTTCGAAATGTTTCGAAAAAATTGAAGCGTATTCACTGGCTAATTTGAAATACTTTGTGTTTTTAAAACTTTTAAGTACAATGCTTTGTTACCAAGAAAAAAATTTTTAAATGTTATAGATGAGCAACTAATTAATTAATTAATTGTCTACTTATTACATTTTGAAATTCTCTTACTTTTTCTTCCTAGAAATACTTTAAAAAGTGCTTCGTTTCCTAGAAAAAATGAATGAATGTTTCGGTAAAAATTTTGAACTTCGGGTGAGATTTAAAAATTTCTTATTGATCAAATTGACTACGATACTCGATATCATTTAGATTTTGATATCGCATTCATTATCTAGACCAGATCGAAGTTAATTCCTAGCCAGTAAGTTTTTAAAAACTCGATGTGAAAATAAATTATCTTCGATAACAGTGATTTTTTTCTTTTAAATATAATTTTTTGTAAAAAATGAAGTTTTTCAATAATTTGAATAGCTGTTAAATTAAATTTATATGTATGTTATATTCTTCAATGCTCACCAGGAACTACTTCCACGCCGTCGAACAATTCATAAAGTGAGAGAAAAAGAAATAGATACACTACGACAAGCCGGCTCTTGCGTTTTAGAGATCGTGTCAGGCAATTCTGTAACTGTCTCAGTAGCGTAGACTAGTTAAAAAGAGGGACAGAAAAGGTTCTTTCACGCCACGAGTATCAATACTATTATCGATTTCAAGCAGTGAAGCGATGTATCGGTTTATTTTAGTGATTTTCGCAACTATTAATCACCCGTAACCAAGTTAATATTATTAGACGGATATTAGACGGATCTTAATCCGTCTAATATCCGTCTAATAATCTAATAATAAGAGATTAGACGGATTAGACGGGTATTAGACGGATAGCAAACTAATGGCGATCGTGATGCCTCTCGGCAACATTTTTCGTCCACTCTGTGCAGAGATTTAGCAATTGAGTGGGCAATTAAGAATGTTTGTATTGAAAATAACTTACTGCTTTCTTGCGTAATCTCTCTTTCATTTGCCGCCTCTATTGCTATTATATTCTTTGGTTTGTCGTTTAATGATCTTAATACACTTCTGGCATATATCTTTGTTCACGCTTCTTCACGTCTGACTCAATTCGTCTTCTTTGTCGGTTCCACAGTTACAATCGCGCTTGTCTTTATTCGTGAATTTCAGCTGCTGATTACACGTATGAAGCTTCTCGCCGACTTAACAAAAAAAAATTTCGCTGCACAGCCAAGCAGATCTAACAGCTCAGGTTTTGCTACAATCCTAGCGGGGCTCGCAACGTGTCGTTATTTTTTCTTCTCTTTTCAATAATTATTTTATATGGAGTGGGTTTCGACTCGTGGATGGAAGTGG